CCCCCCCCCCCCCGAATAAGAATTCTTGCCCCCCCCCACAAAAAAAAAAATAAGATCAAGAACCCCTCGCACCCCCGGATTAAGAACCCCTGGCAACCCAGATTTAAGAACCCCTGGCGGCCCTGGATTAAGGATCCCTGCCATAAACCATTGAAAACTAAATATCAAAATGTGATGCATGTTTCTTATGTTTAACAGACCGTTGAGCTAGAGAACAAGTCTTCAAATAGATCCTACCCTTAATTTATTCATAAAACTAGAACTGGGATAACCGAATCAAATCAACGTGTTGCTATGTAAATCAATGGCGACACACTATTAGCTGGCCATGAAGATTTTTATAAGCAAACCTTTCAGACTCCAGACCAAATATAGGTCATAGGTCGGACGAAATGAGCAGGTTTTTATTAATACACGCTTTTTATTAAAAACTTAAATCTGACGTAGAAATCTGGAACCAATTGAGGAACCAATGTTAATCATTTAAACAAAGAATGTCCGGTTCAACTCCACATAAAGCTGGTTGAATGAAATGACTGAAATAGTTTTCAAAACAAGTTCATACCATAGGAATATAATTCCTTGTTAACACCGTATGTGTCATTGTGTGTAGCCTGTCTCTCATGCACACATACAAACATAATGTGTTCATAGTCTCATATGGTCAATATATCAGGTCTGTGTAGAATGAGTTTGTTTCAGTTCTTTAATGTCAACAGCCTACTTACCCAGGGTCGAACGACTACACATCATATTTCTGTCATTCATGTGTTTACTTACCCAGGGTCGAACGACCAGACATCACATTTCTGTCATTCATGTGTTTACTTACCCAGGGTCGAACGACCAGACATCACATTTCTGTCATTCATGTGTTCACTTACCCAGGGTCGAACGACCACACATCACATTGATGTCATTCATGTGTTTACTTACCCAGGGTCAAACGACCACACATCACATTGTTGCCATGCCACAAAATCTTCGAACGTAAAATCGTGTTTGACGCTGTGAACATGTTTAGAATGTTAAGTTCATCATCTTGATAAATGTCTTCAGTTAAACTATCTGTATCTTCCCCCCAACGAAATGCAGGACTTAAAGTCAACTTAAGCTCCACGAGTTACCTCGCATGCAGCACATTATTTGCTTGTTTATTTTTAGGGACTGAAGGTTCATTAACTTTACCATGTAAGCTTGAGATACTGTTTACCATGACTTACAGCTAAGACTGTGCAACATGACTTATAGCTAGGACTGTGCACCATGACTTATAGCTAAGACTGTGTAACATGACTTATAGCTAGGACTGTGCACCATGACTTACAGCTACGTCTGTGCACCGTCATGAAGTCCATGTCGTAAAGCTAAGAATGTGCACCTTTATTAAATCCATGTTTTATAGCTGGGACTGACGTTGAATAATGCACCAATAATACCAGTGCCGATGCCAAGTATTTAGTCATGTTTGGCCAGTTAGGACAGGGGAATGACTTTTTAAGTCAAACAGCCCCAGTGGCATACTTGTATTCTATCTTATAAACCACGCCTGCACCGTATCCGGAAATTTGATCGACAGAAATTTCGTCGACGGTAAATTGATCGACGGTAATTTGATCGAACGGAAATTTGGTCAAATATTTTATTCAGTTTTTACGTTAAAATTTTGTTTCAAATTCCTTTTTGAACGCATTATTTTGTTTTACTATATAGTATAGTGCGTTCAAAAAGAAATTTGGCGAAAATTTTAACGTGTGAACTGAAAAAAAGTTTCGATCATATTTCCGTTCGATCAAATTACCGTCGATCAATTTACTGTCGACGAAATTTCTTTCGATCAAATTTCCGGTAACCTTAATATCCACCACAAGTCTAAACTGTCGTACTCTAGTACAACATAGCGTTAACAAACAAGTAGGAGGCACAGTATAATATGAAGTCAACTATGAGAAATCACATGTCATATAATAGTATGTCTTTCTAGCAAGGATATGCAAATATGACGGATAAATATGACCTAAGATATGACGTACCCAAACGTGTACACGTAACACGATTTCCTGACGACCCGAGGCGGCTCCTGACACAGGAAATACTTGGCGAAACTAATCAGATGCTTGGGGCACGGGAACCTCAGTGTGGAGTTGAGATACCTGCAGGAGACGCGGAGAAAACATCTCAACGAGAGCTAATATAAGCTTACTATGTGGACACCTTCTAAGCTAATAATCCATTCGACTTTAGGCAAACGTTAGGCAAACTTTAGGCAAACTTTACCAAAGGAGGCATCAAATCTGCTCTTTGAATTTTTAAAAATACCACATTTGCAGACTGTTTGCTGTAGTTCTTAAGTCCAATGGTGCAAGATATGGCATTTTGGGTGTGCAAGATATGGAAGATTGGGTGTGCAAGATATGGCAGATTGGGAGTGCAAGATATGGCAGATTGAATGGGCAAGATACGGAAGATTGGGTGTGGAAGATATGGCAGATTGAGTGTGCAAGATATGACGGATTGAGTGGAGCAAGATAACACAGAGATGATGGTGCAAGATATGGCAGATTAAGCGCCATTAAACACAAAATGCCCCTATAAGTTTAGTTTCTCATCAAACAAAAATGCGCCAATAAGTTTAGTCACGCATTTACCAGGCTTGATTTGCCCTTGCTCCAAATTTATAATATTGTCACTTTTCTAGTTTGTACATAATGGTAAATAATATTTTTTATAAGCACTAAAGGCACACACACACACACACACATATAAACACAGGGTCGTGTGGAAAAAAAAAGGGGGGGGGGGCGAAGAGATACTTGCCCCGGGCGCCAACATCAGGGGGACATCATTGTTAAATTAACTATAAAATCACAAGCATTTCTCAAAGACAAGGGCGCAACATTCGTCTGAGCCCCAGAAAACTTTAGGAAGCGACTTGGAGGTCAGCATAAAATATATGTTTGGGCGAGTGGTCTCCAGACGTTCTCGCAACATGTTAGGCACAGACTGCATTGATAAGGTGTACATGGTGGGGGGGGGGCCCGGTTGGGTGAGTACCTCGATTTCTGGCACCCTCTGCCCTTTTGATGATGTTGATTGTTTAGAAGGCCAGACGTGTGACAGTGGTTTAGAAGGCCAGACGTGTGACAGTGGTTTAGAAGGCCAGACGTGTGACAGTGGTTTAGAAGGCCAGACGTGTGACAGTGGTTTAGAAGGCCAGACGTGTGACAGTGGTTTAGAAGGCCAGACGTGTGACAGTGGTTTAGAAGGCCAGACGTGTGACAGTGGTTTAGAAGGCCAGACGTGTGACAGTGGTTTAGAAGGCCAGACGTGTGACAGTGGTTTAGAAGGCCAGACGTGTGACAGTGGTTTAGAAGGCCAGACGTGTGACAGTGGTTTAGAAGGCCAGACGTGTGACAGTGGTTTAGAAGGCCAGACGTGTGACAGTGGTTTAGAAGGCCAGACGTGTGACAGTGGTTTAGAAGGCCAGACGTGTGACAGTGGTTTAGTTTCCTAGCATGGCGTTAACAAAATACCAGTGTTTCACATGCATATCATACAGAGCGTCGGGACCTAAACCAGCAAATAAAAACATACACAGCACATAAGAATATACACACTAACAGCACATACATATACAAATAACAACACATATACATACACAAGTCCTTACATCCCACCCAATCCAAAAGTCGTTGCTCGATTTCGACTTATTCACTCTGAGCATTAAACATATGATCGTATGGACATCTCTTGAGAATGGACCAAATTGTCTACTGAGATTTGGTCATGTGACATTTCGCCTACAGTTTGATGTCTAGTTTTAATTAATATCGCGCTTGGTGCATAAATATTTATTCTATTTTACTTTCGTATCAATTGTCTAGAAGTAAATCAGTTGCTCTATTCTGTCCATCTAAAATGTTTATCGATGTCAGTGTATTTGTACGTAATGAAAAACTTAACTTAAATAACTATCTTCCACTGATATCAAACATTTATACCTTATCTTTATATTTTTAACGTCTAACTTACTTTCTATTAAATAAATAGCTCACCAGTTAATCATGGCGGCCGCCTGCCACCATTCAGTTATTGAAGTTATGTTGTCAGGATCTGCTCTGATTGGCTGAAGATTTTGGTTCAATTCTCGGTTGTACGTTTTCAGCATATCTGAAACCAGTAGAAACGGTGTTAGATGTGAAGCATGTTTGTAGTTATCACAAACCAATGGCACAGTGTTAGATGTGGAACATGTCTGTAGTTACCACAAACCAGTGGCACAGTGCTAGATGTGGAACATGTGTGTAGTTACCACAAACCAGTAGCACATTGTTACATGTCGCGACCCGGCATTGGGGACCCGCTGCTCTACAGTATGCTTTAAAAGTAGCAGTGGTAAACTGCAGTGGACAGCACTTGACAGAGTCAGACATAAGAACGGGTAGGATGTATTATAGAGTTCATCTGTTGTACGAGCAGCCAGATGTGTATAGGAATGAGGAGTTCTCCGATTGGTCGACCAGGCTTTCCTTTCCGTTCACCTAGTTTATTTCTAGAACTAATATTTCTGCGACCTTTCAAGAACACCTTTGTGCGAAAATATTGATCAAACTTAAGGAAATTTACCAAACCAACCAAGGTTAAGGACAGGCATAGGATGCAAAGGAACTTTCTCTTCGTTGTGGAGAGACATTTCCAAACCACCTGCCCAACATACCTTCCTTTTCACCACTGGAACACGTTGCGACTGGAGCTATACGCCGCATGTTCAAAATGTTGGAGCTTCAGATCTGTTACTTTTGGGGCATACTGTTCTAACCCAGGGCGCGCAAACTTTTACTTTTGAGGCATACTGTTCTAACCCAGGGCGTCCATACTGTTACTTTTGGGGCATACTGCTCTAACCCAGGGCCTCCATACTGTTACCTTTGTCTCATACTGTACTTACCCAGGACGCCCATACTTTTATTTTTGTCTCATACTGTACTATCCCAGGGCACCCGTACTCTTACTTTTGTCTCATACTGTACCATCCCAGGGCACCCGTACTCTTACTTTTGTCGCATACTACACTTACCCAGGGCGCCTGTACTGTTCCAGACATCCGGTTTGAATTCTTCTCTCTTCTCTATGGCGTCATAATCCAAACTTTTAAATTTCTTAAAACTGACTCCGTCGTCTGCTTCGCGTGGTTGTGTCTCTTGCTGTCGGCCAGGCAGTGGTCTGGTTGTTTCCGAACTCATCAGACACGTGACTTTTTTGTTGACGTTGGCTAGCAACACGCCCGAGAAATTTACCAAACCGACCAAGGTGAAGGTCAGGCACAAGATGCAAAGGAGCCTTCTCTTCCCAGTATCACACATCATTTTTGTTAATAAAACCAACATTAGATGGTTTCTTCTCGCCAGTAAGAAAAGATAAATCTATTTGTTATATATTAGTATGGCTGTTAATAGCTTGCTCCTATCTCATTACCCTGGCCTCTGGTTTGGTTCAATACACATCTGTTGGAACAAAAAAAACACTTTAAATAAACAGATGATGTTAATACCTTGCTCCTATTTCATTACGTTGGCCTCTGGTTTGGTTCAATACACATCTGTTGGAAGAAGAAAAAAAAAACACTTTAAATAGACAGATGATGATAAAAGCGACCTCTTCAAAGGTCATTACTCAAAGGAAAAAAAAAACATGTTTATTTGAAAACGTTTATTTGCCGAACGTTAGCTAAAGGGCGCCCGGGGCGTACTCCCAACACTGCGCCACCAACATACACACACATATATATATATATATCCATTAATCTTTTTTTAATAAACACTAGAAATTTATTTTGAAAAATTGAAAATTGACCATTTTCTAACTTCTGTTATATAATAATACCCAGCATTCATAAGTAGATTCCTGAGCATCATTTAAAACTTGATTTAAAATAAAAAAAAACTTGATCAATCTGAAAAATGTATTTTTTTTGCTGCCATCTTTCATTGAATCGGTAACACATCAAAGATTTATGAATTGTTCCCTGTACATTGTTGACCTTAAATGTGCACACTGTTGTCCTTAAATGTGCACACTGTTGACCTTAAATGTGCACATTATTGACCTTAAATGTGCACATTGTTGACCTTAAATATGCACACTGTTGACCTTAAATGTGCACACTGTTGTCCTTAAATGTGCACACTGTTGACCTTAAATGTGTACGTTATTCACCTTAAATGTATGGATTTAATAACAAATCAATTTTGAACGAAGAAGATTTTCCGAGAATTGCAAGAATTGCATTAAATATATTTTAAGTTAAAATAATTAAAGTATATGGAGGATTTATCTATTACCTTTGTAAAAAAGCTTTTTTTAAATGTGTCGCGGTCGCCGGTCTCATCATTGGGTAGAGCATTCAAAACAAGGATGGGAACCTGAACAAAAGATGGAACATCTGAACACAGTCAAAATGAAAAAAAAAAATATATATTTCTCAAGCTGAATCGTATTCCTTGGACACTGGAAGTTCAAACAAGGACACATACCTTGACGATAATGAAACTTACCTCCCTTCGTTGGAAAACTTAAGTTCACTAACTAGACACAAACCTTGATGTTAGTGAAACTTATCTCCCTTCTTTGGAAAATTTAAGTTCACCAACAAGACACCAACCTTGATGTTGGTGAAAGTGATCGATTGGCGGTGAGTTCGGCAAAGCTAATCAGCAGCAGTTGTGACATCTGTTGGAACACAATTTAAAACACAATACCCCAAACCGTGAAGAGTACAACTAACAAATTTATTTTGAAGGGGAGGCAGGAACATTGGTCGGAGTCAGTCGGCAACCCAATCGTGCCGAGACAAGGGTTCTCACAATTTTGTAGGTTTGGGAAATACAACTGGAAAAAAATAAAAAAAAGGCTGAAGTAAAGTTTGACATTAAAAAGTGAACCCATCTTGAAAGTGATCCCATCTTGAAAGTGAACCCATCTTGAAAGTGAACCCATCTTGAAAGTGAACCCATCTTGAAAGTGAACCCATCTTGAAAGTGAACCCATCTTGAAAGTGAACCCATCTTGAAAGTGAACCCATCTTGAAAGTGAACCCATCTTGAAAGTGAACCCATCTTGAAAGTGAACCCATCTTGAAAGTGAACCCATCTTGAAAGTGAACCCATCTTGAAAGTGAACCCATCTTGAAAGTGAACCCATCTTGAAAGTGAACCCATCTTGAAAGTGAACCCATCTTGAAAGTGAACCCATCTTGAAAGTGAACCCATCTTGAAAGTGAACCCATCTTGAAAGTGAACCCATCTTGAAAGTGAACGTGGTTGTCTCTCTTGTGTACCCGGAAGCTATTCGTAAGATAAAACTTTTCTATCCAACTAAGTATAAAAATTAATTGTTTCATTAGCATTTGATGGTTGTCAATGGTGTTTCAACATTAAACTTTTTTTTTTCTATACCATTTTAAGCGACTTGTCCGTAAGCTTAATTGAAATTTGAAGAATTCTCAATTGACTTGACCCTGAAAGAATGACATAGATTGACACAAAATTTGTCAAATTTAAAATATTTAAATTCTGAGATAGATGCAACTGTGTTTAAAATTAAATTATTATTCCAGTCAATTAACTTTGCACAAAAATGTCATAAATTAAGGAGCTAAAAATAAATAAACTGATAAATAATTTAACCTTATTTTTAAAACGTTAGGCAAGAAAAAATACTTTCTTTCATCTACTAGTCTTTCTAGCTGTATGGATTTTGTTTTTTTTTTTTTGTTTTTTTATTTTAAAATCGATAACCCACGACTACCAATTAATGTTGTCTTAAATATATTAATATGATTTTAAATATATTAATATGTTTTTAAAACGTTAGGCAAGAAAAAATACTTTCTTTCATCTACTAGTCTTTCTAGCTGTATGGATTTTGTTTTTTTTTTTTGTTTTTTTTTTTTAAAATCGATAACCCACGACTACAAATCAATGTTGTCTTAAATATATTAATATGATCTTAAATATATTAATATGGTCTTAAATATATAAATATGGTCTTAGCTATATAAATATGGTCTTAGCTATATAAATATCGTCTTAGTTATATATTGTGCTGTTCGTCCGTCGAGGATCGACGAGGACCATCGAGTCGTCAGGTGACTGATGACTTGCGCGGGTGACTTTTGTTTAAAGTTAAAGGAAGAGTTGCGCGGCGTCAACCTCACTCTCTCGTCCGGGCCCACCATATCCAGTGGCATGACTCTACATCAAGACGACCAGGGGTGGGTACTGTTGCAGTAATTGTCATTATCTTCTATGCTTTTCGGCTACTCTCAACATGGAATCTTTGTCTTGGTTGTGGTCGCTGTGCATGTTACAGCCTCTTGGAACCACAGGTGAGAGCTGAGTACAGAGACTTCCTGCTGTTTCCGAACAAGATGGCTTCTTCCTATTCAGCCTAACAGTAGATCTGTACTGTGGTTGTGTTTAGAAGGAGAGCTTTAACTATGGATATGATGATTTCTTCCGGTGCCATGTTTAAGAAGTGACAAGGCGGTTTAGGCACCGAGAAGAGCGACGAAGTCACCAGAGCCGGGCACGATACGGCTTGCTCGCCGTACCCGGCGAAGACGGTGAGGTAGTGGTAGAGTGTGGTTTCGTCTTCGGCAAAGAGTGTGGCGATCGTTCATGGACTAAAGTCTAGATCCTGCGGGATCCTGGCGCCGCGGGGGGGTGACCCGCGGGCGTCCCGGGGGTCGTTGCCTCCTGTTCCTGGCCGGTGGGGTGGATCCCTTGTCGTGTCTCGGTGTTCCATGCCCCATTGCGCTGGCCTGTTCCTGCGCTCAGGACACTGATTTTGGTTGCTAACGGAGAGAGTCGAAGTCCCACGGAAGGTGAAAGGCTGGTTTTGTGGCGCATGCCCTGTTGTTTCCGACAGTTTTGACTGCGGCAACTTCTAACTTGGATATACGTCTGGCCGGAGCATTGGCTGCGCCGCGGCGGCGGGAAGATTTTGCTCGAAATAGTCTTCTGCCCGGCCTGGTCCGTTTCACAACCGGGCCAATTTGTACAAGTGGCTCCCGGACACGTGGGGGGTTTCACGAGCCAGGCTAATCCGCGTCCATTGCTTATCAATGGGGAGGGGGGGTCCCTGATCCTGGTTTTGACTTTAACGGTTACGAATACGTCGGACCGGGGTCTTGGACGCTGTTCTTCGTGAGCGGTCGTGCAAGAGCGTCCTGCTCAGTAACGCTTCAGCAGATATTAATGTCGGTTTAGAAGAAGAAATACGTTGATAACAGCATAAATCTGGTCATGAATGAAACCGCAAAACAATTAAAATTAATTAAAAGTTCGAATTTTCTTGTGCCGAAGCCAATTTCCAATAATTATTTTTAACTGTCTCCCTTGCTTTACCGAAGCGCCTACACACTGAGATTCCTTCCAAGTATCTCTAACCAAAGAAATAAGCACTGGGGCGCCACAAGGCTGCGTTCTCTCGCCTGTACTGTATACCATATATACCAATGATTTTCAAAGCTCCATCGACACCGTTCCAATCTTAAAATTTGCTGATGATACCACCATTACTGGCTTTAATATATGAAGGAGAAGGCATATACCGCAACTTAGTTACAAGCTTTATCAATTGGTGCGATGAAAATTTTCTCCAGTTGAATGTCTCAAAAAACAAAGGAAATGGTTGTTGATTTCAGGAGGGGAAACACCAGATTACAGATCTCAACATAAATAATCAAAGTGTAGAGAAAGTAGAGGGATACAAGTACTTAGGAATCCCCATTCATAATCTAACATGGCATGAGCACGGCCAAATGCTGTATAAGAAATTCAACCAAAGACTGTTCTACCTAAAAAAAACGTACAATTTCGGAGTAGCCAAGCAAGTCATTAACTTATTCTACAGTGCAACAATTGGAAGCCTGCTTAATTTCAGTATTACCTGCTGGAGTGGGAATTCTATGTCTGATATTAAACACCGCATAAACCGACTGATCAAGAAAGCTAGGAACATAACACAAACTAAACATCCTTCACTTGAAGAACTATTTGAAAAAAGATGTTATTGTAAAACTAGGCACATTTTGGATGATACATCCCACCCTCTTCATCACAGATACTTAGGATCGGCCCGTTCGGGACAAATTCTTTCCGTAAGGGCGATGACTGAAAGATATAAGAACTGTTTCGTTTCCCAATCTGTACGAATTTACCGGCGTGCTCCTTCTGAAGTCACACATCTGAATGA